GAGAGAGAGAGAGAGAGAGAGGGGGGGAAATTTCATCATGAGAGGGGGGGAAAATTTCATCATGACTGCTATGGGCAAATTTTTAGTTCACTACTGGGTCATGGCTAATATTTTCAAAGGGGCCTCAGGGTTACGAATACCTACACAACTTGGGTGAAGTGGCCGTGACCACCGCTCTAACTTGTGCGTCGGGGGTGGAGAGGGAGGGGAATGCTCGTAGCCAAGTAGTGAGAAGGATTATCATGTTGTATATCTAGCACTGAAAACGATCTATGATTAACCCTTAACATCCTGATATCAGTATGCATATTCTCCATACTGTTCTCTATATATTTCCTAAGATGCTGACAAGGATAATTTGTTTAACAATCAAGAGCTTCTTTAATTGGTGATCATTTCCTTTATTCGTATGACTTTAATGTGTGATTCAGGGGAGGGGGGGGGGAAATGCACGGAGAAATTAGTGTTGAAATGAGTTTGTGACCCTTGGGGGACCGAGGCCTGATTCGAGCTCTCAATTCCCTGAAGGTTTGTGGTGTTTTGCTGAGGGTCCTCCGTACCTCTTTGTAAAACGCAGTCACGTAAAAATATTTGGCCTTTTCACGCATCAATATTAAGATCCAAGATTTTTTCACCTTCAAGCGTAATTTGAGACGATCATGTTTTACATAAAAATAAAAAACCAAATTCATGAATTATCGATTCATATGAAGTCCATATCCTGTCAAAACCCTGGTCAAAACCTAACTACACCCGTTCGAGAGCCGAAATATGTACATTTTTAACACCATTAAAAAGCCTGGAATTCTGATCACGCAAATAAAATTGGTTCACGAATCACGTTTAATTCAGCTCTTCATTCACGAGTCACGATTAAATAAAAAAAAATTAGTTCAAATGGACAAGACACGATCTTGTCATCTTCAGTCACGATTCACGAATGAAGAAAAAATCGAATCACGATTCACGAGAAGAAAAATCGGCCAATCAAGCTTCATGTAAAAAGTGTTGAGAACCCTCTTTACTAGCAGTGACTTTTAGAAAAAAAAAATACCTGTGTGGCTCTCTTGTCAATTAGTCTCATAACGGTGTTGGAAAGTCCAAGAGTGCTGGCAATATCCAATATTCTTTTCTGAGCTCCCTATTAAAAATGAAAGATAAGGGTTTGTCACCTTAAAAAAATCATCATAATTTAACTCAAGCTTGGCTTAACACGAGAAAAAGCAAGCTCACTATGTGTTTATTTCCTCTAACTTTCCACCAATCAACTACAATAATAGTAGCGTTGGGAATTTCTTTCACGACTTCAACTTTCTCTGATATTGACTACATAAACAGCACAATCGCTTCCTCGTCTTCTGGTCTGTAAATGATTACTACCGACAGCAGGTACAGCTTGTATGCTGCCAAGCGGAAAGGTGAGCTACTAAAAATGGAAGAGAGGTCTCCACCAGCAAGCCACAGAGTAGTTGCATGTCTGTCAATCCTAGTACGCGCACGGTATTGTGCGCATACTCTGCGTGTTTTACAAACTTATTTTGGTCTTCTTATCTTTGAGCGGTACTGCACAAAGGAAATACTCGTGGGGTCAACATACTTTTAAAGTGACACGTTGATCTCGTAAACTCGTCAAAATACTGGAACCACTGCTCAGTAAATCACTGATTCCTCTGTCAGCATTTTGAAGAGAAGTGTTATGCTGTAGGGCGTGGTCTATCATGATTGATGTCTCACCACTATTCTGCAAAATAAGTTTTATTCATTTTTGTAACATAACCAAAGTAAAGCGCGCGCTCTGATTGGTCAATTTAGCGTCCCCCATTTTCCCATGGGTGTACGCTGCTGACGTGAGCAAATGCAAAGACTAGTTTTCCGCGCGCGCTTGTTTTTTCTGGTCACGTAAGATTTGTTAAAAAAAAGAAAACTCTTTTTGCTACAATGTATGTTATAAAACAAATGGTAAACGCCACAGTGTACACTATTGAGTTATGGATGCATTTGGGAGGTTTGCTATGCACTCAAGAAGCTAGAGTCGCTCTCGGCTATCGCCTCGCGCGACTCTTACGCTTCTTTCGTGCTTAACAGCCTCCCGCGTGCATCCATAACTCATTATAGTTCACCAATAACTTTTCTCCGGTTCTTATTGGTTTGAGTCGATCACGTGACGCGATGGTGTTCATCCGTGGAGAGACACTATCAGCCCATAGTGCCCGCCAGCGGAAAATACCCGGATGGATAGTGCCCGTCCGCGGAAAATACCTGGATTGATAGTACTCATCCGTGAAAAGTTTTGAATAGTTTGACGGCCGCGAAGTTAGGCAGAAAAACAGTGACTTTTCAATTCTGACAGGTATAACGTATTATTTAGCCAATGTACGGTTGCGAATTATTGACATTTGTGACAAGCTGTAGGCGCGGAAGAAAATTCAGTGGTGAACAATAAAAGCAATAGAGTGTTTATGTCTCGGAACTATCGGTCTGATAGTGGCCCCTTGGAAATTTGATGTTCTAAAAACTAGCATATTTGTTTTAAGAACATCAAATTTCCTCGGGGCAACTATCAGCCAGGAACAGTCTATAACTGATATATGAACAGTCTATAACTGATAGCTCCGATAAGCCGATAGCTCCTCGACAGAAACACTCTATTGTTTAAATAGTGTATGCTATGGTGTTTACCATTCGTTAAATCTAACTATACCAAAAAAGCTAAAAATATAATAACAATAATAATAATAATAGTAACTTTTATTTCTATAGCGCTCTTATCCTATGTTCAAGGCGCTTTACAACACTGTGCGGGGGACTTTACCAAACTGCCAGTGGCAGTTTACAATCAACAAAGGCGAATTGTTTTTTAACCAAAGCCTCCTTCCCCCAATTCCCAGTAAACAGGCCAGACCACATCACAGTAATCTCGTGATGTGGGTTCTTTAACGTTCCCTGCCTAATCAAATTATCTAATTAATAAATGCAGGAGACGGGACCTACGGTTTATTCGTCCTTATCCGCAAAGACTAGAATGTCTATCCATTTCTTGATATTATAGAAAGGTAGCACATTCTCCTCAGTTATTTGAAGACCATGAGCGTTGGTCCGGTTGGACCAACACGTATAACTATATACGTACATCTAAATAGATGCCATGGACATAGGTCAAAGTTGAATCCTCCACAAGGAATTAAACTGCAAGGCCTTTGCATGCAATTCCCTCATCAGTTAATGAATTTTCATATAAAAATTCAGTGGGCAGATTTTTTTTATTAGCTATGGTGATCAAGTTACTAACATTTGTAGTGAACCTTCTGTTTAAGAGTTCCTCTCTTTCTCTTTCTTCCTGTTCCTGATAAAAGAGAAAGAATGAAAAAAATTAATTCTCCATGCTGTCTGTCAAATATTTTTCTTTATTATTATCACTTGTTGGCTTGATATCGTGTTGATATTGTAAGAAGAAATTCTGTGTTGGTCAGTCATGGGATTTAGAGGGTGAGGTCATAAATGGTAACAATGAAAGTAAACATACCCTGAGCATTTTGCGATGCTGGTAGTTGTTAAAGCCCGTCTTTAAGTGTCTTAAATCATATGTCAGTTGGTCAACTTTTCTGAGGAGAGAAAAAGTAATTGTCACATTCAAGGCAAAATGAAACATCTTTACCTGACTAAAGAATATGCTATGACTTTCTGCATCAAGAACTTTAAAGACAAGCTGCAGTGTAACTACTAACAAATTCTGTTTCGACAACAGTTGTCAGTAGAACAGCAGTGTTAACAAGATACATGTACAACCACATTTTGATATTAAATTCATGTTGTTGTCATAGGCTACTGTCTTTGTTCCCAGTAACAACATGTTGTTTGACTTCTTTTAGCAAGTTTTCACAATGAACACTTTGTCACTGTTGTTTCATGATCAACACCCCATCATCCAACTTTTCCTGCACCTCGCGCAACTGGTAATCATAGCATTTGTAATGAATCTAATTGACATTCTCAGTAAACACTTACATCCTGGCACTCTGTTTCTTCTGTGGTGGCTCTTTGTTAATAAGGATTGCCAGACGATCGCAATTGGCTGATGCTTGCTCCAAGTTCTGTTCTATTTCTTGCTCAAGGGCTGAATGTGTGGGAGATCATTTAAGATTAAAATAAAAAATTCCTACCAACTCTTCAAGAAAGGAGTGTTTAATCTAAATTCACTATTTTTTTTCTGAAACATCTCTTAAATCCACTACAGCAGTTGGTAATCATGCACTCATTACTGGTCCTGCTTTACAAGACATTGATCTTGCTTCAGAATTTTTTCCACACCATTCATTACAAAATGGGAAACAGCAAACCAGCAGAAGAAGAAAAATAAGTTTTTGACTAGTCTTGGTTGCTCCACAAGGAAAAAAACTTTACAGAAAAAAAAAAAAGTTGTTTACCAGTCTAGGTCTGTCTATATGGGGAAGAACTGCACCATCGGTCTCTTGCATAGTTTTTTTTCCCATTTAGACTCTTCGCCTGGTAAATCACATATATATACCCTTGTTATCATATTTTGTATCTTTTTGTCAATCTTAGGGCACACTCAAGTCATACATTGCCACGTGAAAATTACAAAGAAATAATTTTGTCAGCATTGGATGAATCTAGAGGAAGCAATTCTCTTTGCACTAGGGACGCTTAAATCAAGTATCAGTGCATTTTATTTGTTCACTTTCACGAAAAAACGCCCATCGCTTGTCAGCTATGAGCACGAGACAGCTGGAAATTTAAACACGACGCAATGTTGACACTTTTCTAAATTTATGTTTGCGCTTACCATTTAGTGAATCAGGATGTGCAGAACTCAGTTTACTAAGTAACCCCTGAACTCCTACGATGAGTCTTTCAAAGAAAGAAAAGAACATATCGTAACTTTAACGTATCCAAACTCAAATTAAATGTAATCTGGGTAGACTCCGTCCTTCGTGATCTGGATGAGCAAAAGATCTCTGAGAGGCATTACAGTAAAAGAGGGGAAAGTGATGCCTGCGGATCGTTAGAAGGCTGAGGGGATCGCAACAGAAATGAGATGAAAATCAAGCTTTATCATCGATGTTGAGTTCTCATAACCAAGCAGAGGGCATCGATATTCATCAGGAGGTCTTCTCGTGGGCTTAAAACAAAAACAAAACAACTTACCGATTAGTCTCTTGGTAAAGATTGTCCATTATTTATTATCTATTTTCGTTTTTCTCGCGATGAAAGCAATCATATAAAGGTCTAAGAAACTAGTCAAGCTAAGCCGCCATCTTGTTTTCGTATCTCCTTCCGCTGACATACGACACGTCATGTCTCTATCCAGTCTCCTTCGGACTTTTTTGGTTAGTCACGCAATTTATCACGTAATATTTTTAGTAAATACTTTTTAGCATTTCAATTAACTCAGTCACTCTGTCATCGACTCAATCAGTCGGTCGGTCATTCTTTCAGTAAATGGTAAAGCCAAAATCAACCAGTCATTCATTCAATCAAACGCTGTCAATACGACTCCTAACACCATTTTACGTTCCGTTAGAGGAAAGCACTGCTGAAATACAGCACCATTTCTCAGATAACATGTATGGCAAGAATCTAACACCGACCAAACCCGGGTGAAACCGAGTTGGTATCTGTGATGGACAATGTGTCCGGCCTCAGTTCCCATGAAGACTGGATACTGACATTTTAGAGAAAGGTACTTCCCCAGACCTCCCCACCCTTACAAATAAAGAAAAACTACCAAGTCACGTGGTTTCCTTGGAGCATTTATTACATATTTAACGTGATGCATGTTTTCTAAAATAAGCACACGCTTCTAAAACTGATCGTGTGTAACTGATGAAAAAATTTCAATTCTTACATGATTTAAAGATTTCTCTTGAACGTTAACACTAAACAAGAGGATGAAGTGTACCTCGCCATCCCTCGGTCTAAAAACGGTTTGCAACGAAAGTGCCTTCTGCACAATCTTACCATATAATTTACCTACTTGAAATCTCAACTAACAGGCTTCTTCGATGTCAAATCAACTTATTCTTAGAGTTTTTATCTTTTTATCTATAGGCTCTTAATAATGAGATATAGAAGAAATAAAAGCATGACCACATTTACTACATGACTGGGAAATGAGAAAGATCTTTTCACCAACTTTTTGTATGTGATGAGTGATTTGAATTGTAAGGGCCATTTTTGCAAGCAGAAATTGAGGTAATAACAAAAATATTGAGAAAAAAGGTGTTTGGTTTGTTTTCCCATCTTAATTCTTTTCTATTTTACAGAAACTGCAGAGGGTCTGATTAGACGAAGTTAAACGAGTTTAATTGCCTTCCGCAGAAACGCAACATCACAATTCTTTCTTCCACATATTGACCTCGTGCTCGCTGTCACGTCCTTTTGGTACAGCATTACTACAATTCTAATGGCCAGCGGCCGCTTCAAAATCTACTAGTTGATCTTGTTTTAAGCAAACGAATATTTTGTGGTTTACGGTAAGGTGAGTCTACTCAATTTGCCTGTCGCACAAACGATTGAAATTATCTTGACTTTTAGATACAAAAAATGGCCTTAATATCAACTATCATTTTTGCTCATATCTAATTCGCTTTAAGTTTTAGTTAGAAGTTCCTCGCATAAAATTCCCAGTCGGTTGAAGCTAATTTTTATTTCAGTGTTTGCTTATTTACGAAAGTCTTTATTGGAATTGTAGCCTCTGTTTTTTTCCATCAGTGACCTTCTCACATTCGACGAAACACTCCCACCTGGGCGCCACAAGAAGGACAAAGATGAACAACATCCTTCATTGGATCACAACAAAATGGAATCAAACAGCAACCAAGATCACATCTGCAATAGGAATAAAAGCAATTTACATTTTTTGATAAGAATTCTCGTTTACCAACAGCCAGGGTATTGCAGTGCAGGCGTGTTATTAAGGTCTTACTATTCCACCTGCCATGTTTAATTTGGAGTTAGAGTCGACGGTAGAGGGGAGGGGGCGGGAGGAGCAAAAATATTCACTTCTCCACCTTCATCCCCTCCTTCTTTCTTCACTGTAGCTCTCACCCCCTCCTCCCCCCCCCCCCCCCCTTGGTACAAATTACAAATTTCTTTCTCTCCCCAGCCTTCCGCTCCATTAAAATAAAAGATGACGGCCATAATTTTCGCTAAGAAAATACTTATTCAGTTTAATCCATTCTTACAATTGAGTCAATAAAAGAGGTCGGGAGAAAGTATTGCAAGCGAAAGAATTTCAGGAGGAACAGAAAAACGAACAATTTATCGTAAAACGACGGATAGGCGAACGAACAAACGATCGTACAATCGGGAAAAGACGGGGAGACGAACGAACAAAGTTGGAAAAATACCTCCGTAATTGGAACGAGAGAGAAAGTTTGTGATAGACAATGCTGAAAAGTGAAAGAATTTTAAAGGAACAATTCAAGAATATCTGACATCTGCAGAATTATTGTAAGTCTTTAAAAGATCTGATTATTTCCGCGTGTGTTTGGCGATGCAAAAAAGAGAGACTTCTTTAGTAAGTGAATCTTTGTCATGTACTGTACATTATGCGATTGCGTTGCCAACTGCCCTGCAGCTAGGGAAAACACGAATGACCACGTCGCCTCAAATTTCGTTCTTACACCTGATTGGTTGAGAAAATCACATTTATTCTAAGCCAATTAGGGAAGAACGTGAAGCAAACTGGCGAAACTACAGATTACTTTCGAAATTGGTGAAAATTGTTCAGTATCTCATTCTACTTTCTATTTTTTTTTTTCGGAATGATTTTCTATTTATTTATATAGCGGAGTATTTGTCTCGGTCTTGCGGAAAACAATCGAAAAAGACTTCCATCGATGCAAAGCTCTCCATAATCCTTCGTTAAAAAGGTTTAGGGGTCAATATATTTGCAGCTGGTTTTTTTTTGTGTGAAAATTGCTTTGTACGATCGGTGATTTTGGATCAGTCTTTGCAATTCAAATTCACCTCGCCAGTGTAAGATTTTCACTAAAAAAGTTATTGAATCCGTTGCGATTCGCATTTCGACGATTTGAAAATTTGAAAAGTTCTTTGCAGTCAGAGAAATGCGATGATTTTAAGGAAGTCAAGTCAGCAACACGTCAAAATAAAGGACAGTTTGTGCAGCGTGTTACCCTAAAAGTCTCAAAACATATCCGACAGGTTGCGATATTAATTCAAGCAACCACAATCTAAAATTAAGATTCATTAAATATTGAAGCTTTTAAGCAAACTCGTATAAATTTCGTTTATGAGAGGTGATCTGTTTGATGTACTAAGTATTGGAGTAAAAGTTAATTTTTTTAAACTTTATAGGAGCTAGGAATCTGAATAAATGGCTGTTTTTTTACGAAGTAAAAATAAATAGAATCAGACTGGAAACTTCAACGATTTAGAGAACGTGCGAAATTCTACACAAACATGTGTTTACTCACACGGTAACAATGCCAAGAGTTCATAATTTGTGACAAATTCCGTATCACGTCTAGCTTGCATTCGTAAAAACAACGAGCTTTTTAATAAAAGAGCTAAGAGAGTTTCGTTTGAAACCTTCAATGTTACTAATGTTAAATTGACAGTACTGTCATATAAGTGATCTGTAAATTCATATAGCTGTATGCAAAACCGCAATATTTTCAAAAAACCTTACACATAAAAGTTCAAAATTGAAACATTTGTTCTCTACGAATCGCTTTTGGTTATTTACAAATATTTAGAGTGAATCGAAAACGGGATGCGTCAGCGAAAATAAAGGAAAAAAAAGGTGCGTAGTTCGTACTTACCCAACGACACACAATCCGAGGCAGGCAAGCCAAGTTAAAGTTCCCGTCACATAGCTAGTCGCTGTTACAATACTCATTTTGCAGTTAGGACATGACATCGCCACCGGTGACTCGCCGAAGCCAATCGTACTTATTGCAACAGCCGTTGGTTGCTGAATAATGGTGGTCGTGGTTGCTGTACCGGGATAGCCGCCCGGTTGAGCTACAGAACCTGGGTAGCCAGGAGGAGCTGGCGGTGGATAAGCTGGCTGTGTAGGGCCGCCATAGGCTGGAGGAGGATACTGGGCGCCTGGCGGAGGTTGTTGTTGCGGGTACGGCGAAGGTTTACCGTCAGCCATGTTGCTTCGCTGTTATTGTTACGCGAAGGAGCATTAACACTATTCCGTAATGTTTCGAGAGGTTCTGATGACGTAGATCCTCGTTGCCAAGGGAGTACAGAACGTTCGATTATTTACAGATACGACACCTGCACCTTTCTCCACCGTAAAAGACGGGCACTATTAATTTTATCCCCTTTTATTGGCCTTTGTTTCGAAATCTTCACCAAACATCCCGTTGAACACCAACTGAATAAACCATTATCAAGGGATAGAAGCCCTAATGATTTTTCGCACGTGTCACTGAAACGTGTCTTAACTCATTCGACCCATCGTCATTTCTATATTAACCGAGTTGCGAAACATGACAAGCACATTAACATTTCGCTGGATAAGTGGAAAATTTGTGACTCAGCGCTAAGATCCGAAAAGAAGCGCGAGAAGAAGGGGAAAAAAAAATAAAAGCCAACGAAGCATTCTGAACTAACACTGATTCTGTCAATTTCAGAAGTATCTTCGTTGATTAGTCCACGATCGGGCTCGCGCCGGAAGATACAAAAGCTCTCAGCTGGAGCAAATATAACCTGTGTGCGTTTATCACACAAGATGTATTGATGACATTAAACCACAATTTTGATCCTTGTATATCGTATTGATGAAAGGTGAATCTATATCGGCCATGTCTGCCAAACTTACTCAAAGTTTTATAACCTACATCTGCATCATGCAGTATTCATCGTGGAAAGTTGTAATCTTTTAACATGCGTCAATTACTGAAGTGACACCAGTTTAACAAGACATTTCCATGGAAAATGAATGTTATTCATTCAACAAAACAAAATGTAGATTGAGTGAAATAAACCGAGCTGAAGAAATAGAAGTTCCAGAGTTAAAGGAATACATGACAATCATGAAGAAACAAATGGATGAAATTTTAGCGAAATTCTGAATTTTTTTATTATTCGGTGTGTTTTGTCTTAATAGTATTCAACATCCCCCGGGGTTTCTAAGCTCGGCAGAGTGTGACTCGCTTTGGTAAAATGCTAACAAGCTGTAACCAGACTGGCGAATTTCCGGTTAGTAGATGTACGACCGTGAAAGGTGTTAGCTTCAACAGTCTCCCTCGCAGCTGTTTGGGAGCGTTGCGTGACATCCAAAAAAAGCGGCTGCGAGGGAGACTATAGCTTCAAAGGTGCTCTTCAGTTTTGCGAACTGATGTCATAATTACGTTCGAGGTAAGAAAACGCATACTGCTCATGTCGTTTTTCAGTCCCGCGGGTTTTCTCATATCCTGTGGGTATCGATCCGAAGTCAGACTGTTCAGCTTTTCCATGCGATCTTGGACTGACTGCCACACTCGGCCTCAATCTCAGGTGGATTCAGTTTGGGTGCCATGGCAGGATGCGTAGTTAAATTGCAACCATTTGATCGAATGAAATGAGTTTTCTTTCCAGTTCTACAAATCCGAACTTTGAGCCATCAGCTACCATAAGATGTCAGTGGGCTTCATTGTACAATGGATTTTATCATGTAAAGACAAAAATATCCACTTCTAAGCCACATCAAACGCACTTCACTAATCCATGATTATTACAAGTAGTGAAGTTAATCTAGGAATTGTATGTTCTGACAGGACTGTTTTTAACAATTACAGAAATCTGTTCGTGTACAAAAAAAAGTCACATGAAACTTGTGAAGAAATAGGTGGATGATTCTGGAGTATTCTGAAAAATTTTTTTGAATACAGTTTGTAAACCCAAATTGGCAGCTGATAGCAAACCCACCTTCGTAAAATGCAAAACGATTCGTCAGCAGTTGTACTACAAAATCGGTAGTGAACACAATTTAGGAAGTGTCTGATCTGACCGGGTAGTTTTGATTAAAGATAGCATTTTCTTAATGAATACATAAAATTCGTGAAGAGAAGGGTTGTCCAGAAAAATATTGAACGGGCCGGTTCAGACAGCCGAGGGCAACTCTAGCTTCCAGAGTGCTTAGCAAATCTCCCAAGTGCATCTATAACTCTTGTGTTTAATAACATAAAAAAAAAAAAATTCTTGCAAAACATTTGCTTACTTAGAAACGTTTGCTACACCCATGAGCAAATAGTAGATACTGAATTGACCAACCAGAGCGCGCGCTTTACGAGATTCATGTGGTATTGATAATTACAATAATAATGATAACAATAATAATAATAATAATAATAAAAATCTCTCTAAGAATGACTTTATTTGCTAAAGCTCTAAGATGAAAACAAACCGCACAGCATGTTGCCTGGGATCCAGTCCTTCCGCGGAAATATTAATTGAATTCCACACCACATATCGTAAATCCATGACAGTGGGGGGTGTGGAGGCAAAGCTTTTCTAGACCCGTGAAAGCTTATGTCTTAGTCAATTGTTTTTCTTTTTGTCAACGTGGGGTAGGGGGGGGAACTGGCTTGATAATGGCCATGAAGAACCTTTAACATAAAATCCTGGTGAATGACTTTATCGTTCCCATAGTTTGTGCTCTGTAAAATAGCCTATTTATCATTATCATATGACCCGTCCGGCCCCAATCGCGCAATCCCATATAAAATCATAGTGAAGCTGACGTGTGCAGGGCTAAAAGGGTTGACGTGAGCCAGTCTGGGAAAAGCCGTTCGGCCCGGCTGCCCTCACGTGGCTTCGCTGCAAAAGCTTACGGGAAAGTAGAAATGAGGAAAAAGTCGGGTTTCACAAGAAAATGGGAGTTTCTTCTTCTAACTGGAAAAAATAAAGGAAAAGTTATAATTCCAGATTCTTTTTTTTGGCTCGTGTGGCCACAGGCAGTCCAAGCTCACTACTAGAAAGTGGACGGGACTCTTACAGTGTTGCGCAACGTTTTATATTTATAAAGGTTTGTATGGGATGTTATCGGTTTGCCCTAAAAGAGAGAAAAAATGTCTTGTTTTGAAATAAAATGGGCTTAGCTTATTGCCTTGTTGTTTTCTTTGTTGATTACCAGCGTCTCAGGCCATTTTAAAGCATTTTCGGTGAGTCAGCGCTATTTCGGTATTCAACTGCAGTTGAACGCCTCCGGTTGGCTCAATTGGTTAGAGCGCCGGATTTGTGTTGTGCGGGAGGTCGAGGGTTCGAGCCCCGGCCGGACCGATACTCATGGTCTTAAAATAAGTGAGGAGAATTTGCTACCTTTCTATAATCAAAAAATGGATAGATATTCTAGTCTTCTCGGATAAGGACGAATAAACCGTAGACCCCGTCTCCTGCGGGGTTAGGGGTAGGAGACGTTAATTTCCCACGCACGAGATTACTGGGTGGTGGATGTCCTCCCCTGGGTGGGAGGGGTGGGAATTGGTCCTGAAAAGCCCCTATGGGGAGTGGTCAAGTAACGTATGTATATATGTATGTATGTAATAACTGTAGGAATAAGGTAAGTCAATTATTTTTCAAAACAAGACATTTTTTCTCTCTTTTAAGGCAAACAGATAACATCCCATACAAACCTTTATAAATATAAAACGTTGCGCAACACCGTAAGAGTCACGTCCGCTTTTTGTAGTGGTGAGCTTGGGCTGCCTGTGGTTTAGGTTGAAATTTTAAGGTGGTCATATGATAAAATACTTATTGACTGAGTTTGGTCGAGCGGGACTGGACAAGATTTGGCTCTTGGTCATAAGGCACGGATCTCGCTGCGCTCAGTCCGTACGTCATGACCCCGAGCCAAATATTTTCTCGTCCGACCCTCTCACTCAATCAATACGTACATATTGTTACACACTTATTTACCGCTTCTAGTTTGGAACATCTCACAAGACCCCTCGTAACCCCTTACCCCCCAGATCTGATTAACATCTTATTTCTCCACACAAAATCTATACAATATCCAGCAAACACGCGAAGAGAACACACAAACTGCCCAGTTAGAGAATACAAACTTGATAGAATACCCAATTCTCTTCAATAATTTACAAAGAAATATATGGTCCTTGGAAGTGAGAGCTACGAATCAGGTGTTGGGAGGTAGGGGCTACGCTGCCTAGCGTCTCTCGATAACAAATCCCATTAATTTCTTTCCACCGCGAAATAAAAATTACTTTTCCATGGTGGTCGTTCTTCATCTCATTAAAAAAGATATTTGGCAACGAATTTCATTCCTTGAGTCGAGATCAAAGAGCATCCAAAAATTGTCAACGCACAGATGGATCCCGTACGTCTTAAATATGTCGTAACTGATCAACTGATCATGTAGTTCTTGTTACACAAGATACAGTTTCTTGAAGTCAAGTCTCAATAACACGACCTAACACATTATCACAACCAACGCGGTCAAGCCTTCTCTGCCGAGACATTCAAAAAACTGCCCTCATTTCCTCTGGTGAAAACTGCACGAAAGGATCGTCTTTCAACAGCACCGTAGCAGTGGGACGAACTTCTTGCTTGCTAAAACAAAAATGGAAATAAAACCTAAAGCTACTTTACTCCTTTTATATTTACCGGTGCAATAAACGATGGTTTTCGACCAAATAGGGAGCTGGAAGCATCTCAGTCCACAATAAGCTAGTAAACCAACAGAGAGACCATATACCTGAGACATTTCTTAAGAAATCCAAAAGCTAAGGATGTACAGTCCTTTGGTGGTTCTACTTGGTGGTTGACGATCTTAAACATTTTGGTCGGCATCTCTAAGTGGTCATCAAACAAAGGCGGTTTGGTTGTCAGCATTTCGACCACTGTGCAACCCACACTCCTAAAGAGATGAGGTGATAATTGAATTAAAATATACCAGGAGAAATTTCAGCATACTTATTGGATAAGAGCCACTCAATTACTCCAAAATAGTGCAAAAAAAAAAAAAAATCGAAATTGAGTGCAAAACATAGAAATACCGTGATTTCCTTCTCTCTTTGAAATGAATTTCGATTTTAACAATACAACATTTGCACAGAAAATAAATTGAAATTTTGCTGCCGTTGTTGTCAATGCTCCATCACACAGAGCAAAAACAGCGCTCGTGGTGATTTTTGCTTAAATCATACCGACTTGAACTCAAATTCAATTAATAAAGCAACAATGAATGTGGTGGTGGTTTGCGCAAGTAGCGGGAAATGATGTTCGATTTGCGCACCCCTTAAACTAGTTTCCAAGGAAAATAAAACAATGCACTATTCAACTAAAATCAATTATAATAAAAAAATATCTATCAAAACCAATACCAAATATCAGTTTTCCTTCCATAGGGTTGGTCAGAAAGCATTTCCGGGCTTGTCCAATGAAAAGAAGCCACGTTACCCTTAGTCATCCTTCCCCCTGTGACAGTTTTCAGTACCTGCACATGCGTGACATGAAATGAAATCAAAAAACAACAAACCAACCAACAAAATGACGATCGAACGACAACAAAGAGAACAGAAAATTTGCTTACAGTCATGACTTTTGAGATACCAAAGTCCACAATTTTTATGTTTTGTTGTTGCCTGTCTAGCAGAATATTTGCACCTGAAATAATAATAATTATAAATAAGAGTAGAAGGAATGGGTGAAGTCCAGTTCAGTCTGTAATCACTTGAATAATCGAACGAGCCATCAGTTATACCTTTCGAGAGATAACAACAGTTATCTCAGCGTTATACACGACAACAGCGCGAGGACATGACTCGTACACTAATAATCAGAAATCAAGGAGTAATAATAATAATAATAATAATAATGATAATGATAATAATAATAACAAAAATAAAAATAACAAGAATGACTTTATTACTGACAGTATTTCCACTGAAAAGTGGCTCTTCATTTGTGAAATTTACATTACTATTTTAGAATATTTAATAATAATAATAGTAGTAATAATAATAATAATAACAATAATAATATGATAATAATAATAGTGATATTAATAAAAAGCTGTAGTCATGTACAATATCAAGGAATGTCTTGCTTAGGGTAAGACGGCCAGTACGACTGAATATGGAGCAGATAAACACGTTTTTACTGTAAGCTAAATTATTTCTAGCATAGCTTCTCTCAATCTAACCTTTGATATCCTTGTGGATAATTCCATTGTTGTGGAGGAATTCAAGTCCAATAAGGATTTGCCAGGTAAACTTCCTGACAAGCAGTTCATCCAAGGGCCCTTTATATCTTAGCATGTCCTCCAAAGAACCCTACAGAGAAAGAAGTGATTCACATTCAGGCTTGACGGCAGGTGAGTCCCAGAAACGTTTACTAAATATTTTTTTTTTAACCCTTAACACCCTCACATCAGTATGCATATTCTCCATACTGTTCTCTATACATTTCCTAAAGTGCTGACAAGGAGAATTTTCTTAACAGTCCAGAGCTTCTTCAAGTAGCGATTATTTCCCTTATTCTTGAGACCTAACTGTGTGATTCAAGGGGTGTTATTGTATGGAGAAATTAGATACTAGTCACTCCGGTGGTTGAAAGGGTAAAGACATTCTTCAAGGTGTACACCAAATCAATAAAATAATCAGCTGCCAGTCAACTAGATCTTAACAATCTCCTTACCCCTTCCATGTACTCCAGAAACAACAACATGGTATTTCGATTTTTCTCTGTGTAGAAGAACTGCACAATAAATTTGTGCTTCACAGCTGAAAGAACTTTAACTTCATTTTCAACTGCTTTTGTTTGCTATAATTTATGAGAACAACAACAGCAACAAATTAATGGTGTGACAGGAAATTTTCCAAAGGTAGCTTACCTATACATCAAAAATATAAAATGTAACCTTAACTGCAATGAGAAAGTATAGAAAAGCCTACCAATAGACATGAAAAAAATGTGTTTCAATTATTTCTAACGCAGGGCTGAAAAGGCTAACAAAATATCTTTTTACTACTGTAGTTTTAAATTTTCACAGTTTACTTAATATTTTACTCTGTTTGTAGCTGTAAGCATTAGCTGCCGGTATTTCTACTGGGGTAGAAGTTGCAACTTGCAACACTGAAACTGTAACAGTCGACATATAATTTCCCACTTCAAGTGAATAAATAACTGTCACAGCTGAGCAAGACAAAAGGCCTGCAAAAATTCAGCCTTCAACAGGATTTGGTCCCATGATCTCCCACATGCTAGTTACGGTAGGTATCATGATAAACTGAACCACAAAGCCACAAGTTGGGATTGTGACAAATTTTAGAGATTGTTGTTCCAGCACAGGAATCTGATCACAGCTAGATGAAGTGCAAAAATTTTATTTTACTCAATTGGCAAACAGTTGGTAAAAGTGTACATACTGTGTACCTTTTGAGTTTCACTGTGGTTTGTACCAAGATCACACATCTTAACAGCCATTCTTTTGCCAGTCTTTCTGCACTGACAGAGGTACACCTAAAAGTCAGTGAAAGAGTTGAACAAACAGAGTTAAGGATGCTTTTAAATGTACTTACCAAAAGGCTAACCAACTGATAGACATCAAGCAACCCAAGTCTACTTAAATGTGTTGGTAAAGTATTAAAAAAATTAATTATCATGTTCAACTCATGACAAACAGGGTTCAAACAAGTTTCAAGGTACAATTTGGCCTCTGGGGAACAATTTCTCCCCAGGGCCCCTCTGGATAACAGCCACGTAGCTGAGTGGGTCACCTTGGCTAATTAACAAATCTACAGAGGTTTAGCATGGTCTGTACTCTTATTGAGAAATGTTGTTGACTCACGAGCTGCAGCCAAGTGCGTCCACAACAAACTTTGACCACTGTAATAAATAATAAATAAAAAAGCATTTATATAGCACTAAGCTCAACTAGTTCTCCGTAGCGTTTTGCAAAATTATAGACTAATTAACATAACAATTAAATTATAAAAAATCGCAAATTAAAAAGCATCTTTGAACAAGTATGTTTTAAGGTTCTTCTTGAAAATTGCAACAGATTCAGATGTTTTCAGGGAATATGGTAAATCGATCCAAAGCTTGGGACCGACAATGGAGAAGGCACGGTCACTATAGTTCTTTCAAAATGTTCTTGGAACCATCGGGAGCATTTGTGATGAGGAACACAGTACACGAAAGCCATAATACCTTTGATGCAACATTTAAGCAATATAAGTTGGAGCTAAGCCATGTAGACCTTTATAGACAAGTAGAAGTATTTTGAAGATAATGCAAATACTTAACAGGTAGCCAATGAAGTTTCTTTAATGCAGGTGTAATATGTTCCCATTTCTTTGTCAAAATAATAACTCGCACAGCAGTGTTCTGTATAGACTGTAGCTTGTTTATCATATAGTCAGGTAGTCCATAGAGAAGGGAATTGTGATTGTCCAATTTAGATGTAATGTACGCATGAATCACAATTTCAGCAGTTTCCGGACTGAGATATTTTTGTATCTTACTTATGTTCCTTAGGTGATAGTGCGAAGCTTGACAGACTTTTTTCACTTGCTCATCCATTGTTAGATGATGATCGAAAAACGCTCCTAAATTTCTTGTAGATTGAGCTGGGCTAATCTTTTCATCACCAACTTCAAAAAAATTGAGTATAGGAGATTGACAAAACCTGGAACTGTTGAGTAACAATTTGGTTTTAACGTGTTTGAGCTTCAAGCCATTCAATATCATCCATGAATCAATATGTTTATACACAATTCCACTTTAGATTTAACCGTTGATAGTTCATGCGAACTTGACAAGAAAGACATAAATTTGCATGTCATCAGCGTATCAATGATATTGTTGACCATAGCTCTTAATAATATCAGCTATTGGAGAAGTATATAGAACATGTAATAATGGGCCCAAAACAGATCCTTGTGGAATGCCATGTACCAATTTCTGTAACGTTGACTTACAGTTTTCAATTTGAAATTATCATTGACGATTATGATTGTCAAGAAGATTACAGACCATGCTAAGCCACTGTTGATTTGTTTCTTACCACAATATCAACGTCAACTTAACGATTCTTTCAGAATGTGACATGTTGCATGACACATGGACACAAGCAGCATTGTCTGTAATGTTGCGTCACACATGGACACAAGCAGCATTGTCTGTGCTCATAATAGTAACAGCAAATTGGCCAACTAGATTGCAAAATCACTGCCAATTGTGGTTAAAATAAAGTTTTAACTTATCTAAGTATCATAATTTAAGGGAGGGGAGGACAATTGTTGAAGATCAAGTGTCCACCGACACTTACATTAATAAAGGTAATTGAACTGAGTGGAGTGCAATTTGGGCTGAAATCATACGCGTGATTTCAAAATCGAACGAGCGCGCAGGGTGAGTTCAATTTGAAATCCCAAGGATGATTTCAGACCAAAATTGCACGACACGAGGTTCAATTACCACTTTATTACATCCATTTTGAAATCGCCCAATACAGGACTTGTTCAATTCAAATATTTTACTGATGCAGTGCTGAGCCGGTTTTTAAATAAAAAGTGGAACCGGAAACGCCTTTACATCTTATTTTGTATGCAAAACAGAAAGACTTTGACATCATGTGTCAAAAACTCAATCAAGCGTAAAATGATGCGATTTGGAGCAAAAAATGGTGCGATTTGGGAATAAATCGCACCAATTAAAGCCAATCAGATTACAGGGACCACCAGTGATTTCAAAATGGATGTAATAGAGTCACATATGCTAATGAAGAATCTGTACCTTGGCAAAACCTCCAGACCCTATCAATTTGATAGGGTCATACTTCTCAGGATCCAAATAGTTACCATTAGTGGAAAGCTGTGCTTTGAGATCAGCATTCACTGAGCCATCCATTCCTCCATTAGAAGGATGATCTTTGACATCCTGTCCAGCAGACCCCCATGGCGCAGGGGGCTGCAGCATCTGTCTTGAAGTTGAACCAGGAGGCTCCTGTTCTTCAGCATCTGTTGACGTCAAGTCTACCAGAAGTTCATTTCCAGATGGAGAAGCTAGAGGAGGAGATTGAAGAGAGGGATTTCCTACACTGGGTTGAGAGATTTCCACCGGATAAGGAAGGGATGGGTCAGCCAGTGTTGAATCAGTATGTAGCCTCTGATTTGATGCATTATTGGGAGGATTACTCTGACCTGCTACAGCTCCTGTGGAGAGGGAAGGTTGAGGATTACTGAATCCTGAAGCAGCTGGGTCAAGTCTGGGTTGAGAGATTTCCACCGGATAAGGAAGGGATGGGTCAGCCAGTGTTGAATCAGTATGTAGCCTCTGATTTGATGCATTATTGGGAGGATTACTCTGACCTGCCACAGCTTCAGTGGGGATGGAAGGTTGAGGATTGCTGAATCCTGAGGCAGCTGGGTCCATGCTGGGTTGAGAGATTTGTACAGGGTAACGAAGGGATGGGTTGGCGCGAGTTGAAGCAGCCTGTGACCTTTGATTTATTGCATCACTGGAAGGACGAAGCTGACCTGTTACAGAAGCTGTGGGGATAGAAGGAGAAGGATTACTGTAACCCGAGGCAGCCATACTTGCTTGGGGTGCTACATTGCCAACAGTTGGAGGCACTGGGGGCCTTTGAGATGCACTAACAGATGGGAATGCTGGGGTTAAAGAGTGGGTCCAGAGTGGAAGTCTCTGATTGGATGGATCCAAACCACTTGCGGCGACTGGCGGGGCAGAGAAAGGTAGAAAGTTTTGCCTTTCAGGGAATTGTTGAGGAGGATAATTTAGTGAAGCATGGCCCACATCACTGAAGTTTGCAAAAGGCCTCTGTTCTGCTGTGAAGGAAAATACTTGATTGGATGGATCCAAACCACTTGTAGCGACTGGCGGGGCAGAAAAAGATGAAAAGTTTTGCATTCCAGGGAATTGTTGTGATGAATAATTTGGTGAAGCATGGCCCTCAACAATTAAGTTTGCAAAAGGCTTCTGTTCTGCCGTGAAGGAAAATATTTGATTGGATGGATCCAAACCACCTGTGGCGA